CCTGGCATACGATGCCATGGGCATGGGCATGTTCGCAGGAGACGGGGGCATTATTGACGTAGTTTATGGAGCCATTTATGACGATTCAACAATTTTATTTCAACCGCACAGTGCACAGTGGAACCGAAGCAGCCGTAACTTAAATTTACTGCTTGCAAAATCCTCTGTGCCGGTATGGGCAAGTAAAAACAAAGGACCGCCAGCCAATGTATAGGGAGAAACAATGCCAAAACAGCGGAAAATGTAGATAGAGAAGGCAGACACAGATAAAGCTTAGATGCGCGCAGCGTATCGAGTTTCTATTATCTCTGCAAAACGTCGCGACGTCTTGGAGTCGAAAACTTTTCTCGCAATGAGTAGAAGAACTTAAAAACCAACAACGTACAATATATTCAACAACAAAAAAATAAATATAAGCACACAAATACATAAAGCAAAAGAGCCCGGGGCAACAGAAAGAGAATAAGGAGTAGCAGTTGAAGCAACCATGGTATACTTTAGTCAGCGAGAGCACCATCGCATAATGAAGAACGCGTCATTATCCTCAGGATACATAAGCAATATAATAGAAGCTACAAAAAGGGATAGACTACCTACCTTTAGACTTCGTGCGGCGAACGCCCAACTAGTCTCAACTATAAGCCAAACAAACAGCTACAAAAAGGCAACAATACGAAGGAGAAGGATAAGTTGCCAGCAAGCAAGCAAGTGGAAAATATGTTTGCTTTGTTTTTGCTTTCTATTATTTCACATTGGGCTACATTTGGCCTTTAATTACCAAGCAAAGCAGTGCCATGAGTTGACCTAAAGCCAACTACCAGTAAAAGCTAGCAAGACTAAGACGATTAAATGATAACGATAACATGAGCAAAGAACAAATGCAGTTCGATTAAAGTACATAAAAGATGTTCAAGTTTACAAATTTCCTTCTTACTATTTTTAGGTTCTAGCTCTTAAGACCTATGAGATATAATTTATGAACTGCATTTCGATCATGTTTTTATTCGATAACAATAAAACGGGAATAGTTATCGAATGCTTGAATCAAACTTGATATGCGCGTGCTATACACGGATTTACAAAAAAAACTTCTCTGGATCTTAAAGTTGCTGAGATCGACGCGTTCACACATTCGAACAGACGGACGGACGAGCGGACGGACAGACGGACGGACAGACAGACGCATAGGGCTCAATCGACTTGGCTTGTCATCCTGATGGGTCTGACACGCCTCCCTCTGCCCATTAGATATATTTGCACAAGACCATTATACCCTGATTTCCTATTTTCAATGGGATCAGGGTATAAAACGAAGATTAGAAACGGAAGCATATCTTCACACTGTGCTTAATATACACATGTTATATATATTTATTATTGCTTAGAAAAATATGCGAATGTATTATCTCAGAAATTTCGTCCAACACTTGCTAATGCAGAGCATTGTAGATACATATATCACATATTTATGATTGCAATCTTTAGCATCGTGAATTGAAGTGTATGGATCTGAAAAAATGTTAGTGCTTGAAGAGCTATTTGTGAAAAGCATCGAAAAGGTAGCTAGGGGCAGGGGATTTTTGGAGCAGCCACAAGTGTTCATTTGCGTTAAGCTGCAAAAATTGTTTTTCTTATTATTTGGCTGCGCACGCTGCACGTGGCGTATGAGTGATGTTTATATGAAAATTATGCAAAATGTATATTAAAAAAAATATAAAATAACAGCTTAAAACCGCGAATGCTCGCTGGTTATGCTACCTCTTTTTGCTGTGTGCTGCAAAAAATGTGAGCCAAGAGCTTCTTATGGATTAAGCATGCCAGCAATTTTGGCAGCACTGCAACAAAGAGAAACCCCGGGAAAAAGCCAAACTAATAAAAAAGGTGTGTAAAAAATACAATAACTACAACCTTGAGCATGGCCACGAACAAACATAATATTTAATAAATTTTGGTAGTCAACAAGGGCCAGCCAGACCTTGCACCATAGAAAAAAGCTCCGCCTTTATATACTGTTTAAGCAACAAAAACAGAGTATAGCTTACAATGTATTAAATTCCAGCTGCACTGAGACGAAAACAAAATTATGATATAGTTTGAAATTTTATGTATATTACCTTTGGAACTGGAAAAACGTGCAACAGGATATCTTCTAGTCGGCAGCATTTGATTACAATTCTATTCTATTTTCTACTTTTTTGGTTGGTTTCAATGAAGTTGTCGGTGGCTCTAGCTCAGCCAGCCGCATTCGAATGTTAATGTTAGCTGCTGTTGCCAATGCAGCTGTAAAAAATCTGTTGCAAGCAACGCGGCCCACGGCTAAGCACGGAGCTCGTGGCGAGGCGCTTACGTTGGGCATGTCAATAAAATTGAAGTGCGGCAACTGTGAAACGTTGGTGGAGATGCTGATGGTGATGGTGTTGGTGACTGCTGACGCTGACGTTGACGGTGACGGTGCTGGGTGATGGTGACTGGAGACTGTTGACGACTGGTGACTGGTGACTGGTGACACTGACTGTGACGGCGACTGGTAACGGATGTTTGCACTTTACGCATGGCACATTTGGCTTTAATGCGGCATAATCACCAAACAATTTCATTCCTCACACTCGCAGCCGCAAACGTCATTGTCATTGTCTTCTGCCCGTTTGCCTGTTTACTGTTAGCTTTTGGCTGTTGGATGTTGGCTTTTCTGCAAATGTCAACAGTTTTGCAGGCTGCACGCACAAACATGCCAAAACGCATTCGAAGAGCAATTCCCCCAACCACATTCACACTTACCAATGTGTGTGTGTGTGCGTTTGTTTCGGGTCACTTAAGTTTTATGTGGCGAAACGCGTTACCAAATTGCGTTCAAATTGCGCACACAGATAACAGTTTTTCATTACGGCACATAAAAGTGTTTGCCAGCCTTTGTTATTGTTGTTGTCCTGGCAAATTGCTATGCCAACACGTGCTTCACTTTGCAGCTCATGTCAGCAGCGAGACAAAGCGACATCAGAGCAACAGGCGCTGCGCTGTCCAGCTTGTGGCAGTAAAACTTGCCCCAACATACTCCACAGCTACCCCAAAAGCCCCAAAAGCCCCACATTGCCCTGCCTGGACATTACTGTACATTTCCATTCCGTCGGCTGTACTCGATTCTCATTCGTCAGCATTGTCACATAAGTAGCTGATGAGGCTGCTGCCGCCGCTACTGCTGCTGCTGCTGTTGTGGCCCAGCACTTAACCAAGAATTAGCCCCCAGAATCTGCCTATAGCCTGTTATATGTTGGCTTTTATAAGCACTGGCGCCAGTTGTCATTATAGCCAGTTCGTCAGCGTCAGACAAGTTAATTTTTCAACTGCCTAAGCGGTCGGAAGTGACTACTCGACTTCCGCATACCCACCCTGCACTGATTTAAATATGTCGCATATGATGTAAGAAGAAAAACCACAATGGCGATATTTTGGTATGCTAAGGCCAAGAGAGATTGATTGTCGCTCGAGTCAAGTGTTTGTCTCTGTATAAGTGTTTTTGTGTGTTTATGTGCGTGTGTCTGCTTTGCGATTTGCGTGCGCAAACTTCTGTCTGGTCGGCTAGCTCGCGATGGCTGTAGCGTGCATTTAGGCGCTGACAATGAGCAACTTTTGTGCTTATCATGCGTGCAAGTTTCTCCGACGTTTTAATTGAAAAATACTTAGCAAACTCTTGTCCTCGTTTTCCTGGCTGTCGTAGTCATAGTCGCCGTCGCCGTTACCGTCGCACTCAAAGTCAGCTTCAAGTTCAAGAGGGTGTCAAATGACAAGCACTTCAATTGTAGTTGGGAGCCGAGCCGTTGCCGTTGCTGCTTAAGTGCACTAAGGTGTGAACTGCAGCCGCTTGCCATGGTAACGTCTGTATGATAGCATTACCTCTAGTAAATAAGCCCAACTTGATTTTAATTGCTGGCTGAAGCAGCTTCAACGACTCTCACGAAGACTTCAGCCAAGACCCGAAGCCAAGAGTCCACTAAAATTGTCCCAGTAACCTAAAACACGGGGTAGACTAACTTTAAAAGACGCTCATTCGCTTTCTCTCTGTCACTCTCTCTCTCTCTCTATTTCTTTCTTTCTACTTTTTTCTATCTCTCTTTGTCTTTTTCTCTATATTTATCTCTCTCTGTCTCTTTCTCTCCATTTATCCTTCTTTTTCTTGCTACGCTCTTTAGATTTGCTCTTCTGCAGTGGCTTTTGCTGCCGTTGGTATTTTTAATTTTACAAGGATTATGGCAAGCATTTAATTTACAAGACTTAAACACTGCACTAACGTAAGTGAGCGCATTGTCTGTGTCTGTGCCTGTGTGTGTGTGCATGTGCGTGAGTGTTTAGTCAACGTGTGTTCAGGTTTGACTCCGCTGTGGCCGTGGCCACGCATCACGTCCAGTTCATGGCTGGTTGCACGTTTCACTCTTTCTTATTACGCGCTCGTAAAAAGAAACTGCTGCTTGGAGCGCTGCTCTGTGCTCTGGCTGCGAGAAATATTTCCATTAGTTAAGCATGCATATATATATATATATATACATACATATATATATACATACATATATATATAAATGTCCTGTTTGTCACTGTAATAAAGTTGGCAACTTGGGCGTTCCTTGATGTTAATCTTTTGGCCGAGCGCTAACATTTTGACACGCACGTGTCGACAAAAATTGCCGTATAAATTTTTAAGTGATTAAAAAAGTGCCCAACACATACACACACACACACAGACATAGACCCATCCATGCACACTTAAATAATGGGTGGCAGCATGAGAGAGACAATAAGCGAAAGCATTTAAATGCGCGCAACGTGCAAAATATAAATTGTTGTCGAGCTGAGAGGGCCGAAACCAATTGAAAGTCAAATGCCAGCCACTAGCCGCTTATCAGCAGCTGAAACATTTGGCATCGGCATACAGCATCCACGTTCCACACTCCACACTCGGCATTTGTTGTATTTTATTTTCACTCTCCACTCCGCTTCGTTTTCTTTCGTTGCGTTCTACACGACGCTCGTTCGTCATTTCACTCGTATTTGGCGCTTTCGTGAGGTTTTCGTTTCAATGCTCGGTTGCCAGCAATCAGTTCGAATATGTCTTTCGTGCGGCTCGGTTGGGTAGTATAACGGAGTCTCTTCGCGGTCCTAGCGAGTTCGGTCTACTGGGAACAGTCAATCAACAAAAGTAAACAATAACCATTGCAATTGCGAACATTAAATAACATTCTAACGCTCGTCCAATGTCACATCACATTGATTAAGTAGTAAATCAAAGTTACTGGAACTTAACAGAAAATCTCTTAGATATTTGAAGCACTAACACTATTTACCGCCTTTAATGGACTCACCGTTAGTTTACGCTCCCTCTCAAGTTTCTTAGAAATTTGCATTGATGAACTCTGGCACGATGCGCGGCCTGAATGATAAGAACCCAAGCATAATAATCATCGATATTCAAAACCCTTAAAGCAAAGCAGCAACAACAACTGGCTTTAGATCCCAGCGTCAGGACCAGACAGTTTGCTAACCTTTGATCTCTCGGTCTGTAGCTGCGTGTGAGTCTGCCTCCTTTTCTGTGCGTTAGCGTTTTGTGTGTTTATGTGTAAAAGTGCGAGAAAGCGCAAAATAAATATTAAAAGCAAGACGTGCATGGATTAGAAATCATAACCAGTCAGCACCGATAACAACACCAGCTGAAATAAAAACAATAAGAACAACGACAACGACAACAACAACAACAGCAACAACCCGTTGCGGTAACTTATTGAAACAGCTCGGAAAAGAGGTTAGTGTTTGTGAGCTTAGTTCAATGTGCCTTGGCCGCGTTTTATTTCGCCTTTCAGCTAAGTTTTTCTCGCCCCACCTGTCAGACTCCTTTTGTGCTCTAGACAGACGCGCGTTGACGCATAATTTATGCAGACTTCGCTCTCATCTCGTATCTCAGGTGAGAGTGCTGTTGTCCTTTTCTTGTATTGTCGTTCTGAGTATTTTGGTTAAGTACTGCACAATATCGTACACCTGAACCGAACCAAATCGACATCTAATGCCCACACATGCAGCAGTTGAGACTACAGCCGCACGCATATCTCCACGTGGCCTAATCATCATGATTTATGGCAATCGAAGACGGCTCTGGGCACCCTGGCGTCTGCTGGTTGCTGGGAACTGGCTCTACGCGCTTGGTTACCTGCTATTTACATACACATGTTGGTTCACAAATTCCGTCCAACTGGAAACTAAATAATTATACGGCATTGTCCCGGCACCAATTCCTGCCCTTCTCTTGACTTCAAAGTCCCCAATTGCTCTGTGTTGTCGCTTAACCAAAGACCTGCGGGGACGTAAGTCTAACGAACATTTATGCTTGTGCAGTTGTTTATGCTAAGCTCGAGTTATGTGCCACTTAAGAGGCGTGGCAGCTATAGAAACCAGTTAGGACACATTTGCCAGCCGCACTCATACGCCATGTGGTACATACTTGCTTGGAGTTCTGTGTAGGAGCAGCAGCAGCGGCAGCAGTGGTAGCAGCCGATGTAGCCGCATCCTCATCAAGAATGAATTAAAAGTTATTTTAAATTCGTGACAGTCGCCTAATTTTGTATGTCGGCTGCGTCAGCTATGCCCACGGGCTCTGTGTCACGAGCGTTGCATGGCAGTCAGCAGCTGACACCTGCCAGACAGCCTGCTAGTTACATTTGAAACTGAATTACTCACACACACACACAAACACACACTGTCAGAAGTCAGTTGGAGTGAATTAAATTTCAAATGTTTCTTAATTTACTTTTTTGGTTTTGCGTTGACAGTTCAAATTGCTATAACAAATTTTCTAACGTTACGCATGCCACTCATTCATTTCACTTTGCAGTGCCACGCGCGCACACACTTTCTCACTGGGGGCGCACATGCATAAGTGAAATATTATGTACAACTGTCGAGCTTGCTTTCTGATGTTTTTTTTGCGCTTTTTCGCTTTTTCTTGTTTTTTTTTCCTTTTTTTCTTGGTGAAAATAAATGAAGCCATTCGAGCGCAATCAGAATTTCGCATTAAAGCGTGCCACACACGCATTGGCATTGCGAATTGATGACAGCAAACGCACAGCCATGTAGGATAAACAGCACCAGTTTGTAGATGGCGCCGAAGAGTTGGCTGTCGAAGAGTTTTGTGGCTGTTGTACGAGGCACACAGGGCAGGCTGATTGCCACAATCGAAAAAAAACAAATTCCAGCGATTGACTTTGCAATTGGGTATACGATTAAGCTGTGTAGAGGCACAAATAAATCATGAGAATCGCACCTTTCCAAGAGTCAAAGTAATGAATATTAAACAGATTTTTAAGCTAAGCCAATTTTGTATTTACTGATATTATATTGTTATAAGAAATACGTCATGTATTTCTCTGAGTGATGATCACCAAGTAGAAATATATTATGGAAAAATAAATATACAAATTATTTCAGAAATAGTTGTTTATAAAATCCACGCTTGAGAAAAAAAATTACATTTGGTATTCTGCACATTATCAGAAAATATTTATTTTTCTGCACAGCCTCTTCGCTTCGTTCGCTAATAATTTATTCCATTACGATATTGAAATTTGCTGTTTGAAAAAAGACAATGTATAAATAAAAACAGTTAAAACTGTAACTTGACCAGTAACAGGTGAAATTAATTTTATTTTTGCGTTAACATTTTTATACCATGATCCCATTAAAAATGTGAAATCAGGGTATAATGGTTTTATGCAAATGTGTGTAACAGGCAGAAGGAGGCGTGGCAGATCTCATAAAATATATATATTATAGATGAGGACGAGAAGCCGAGTCGAATGAGCCCTGTCCGTCCGTCTGTCCGTATGTGTGAACGCGTTGATCTCAGCATAAGAGTCAGTTGTAGTTCCGTGTATAGCACGCGCATATCAAGTATGTTTCAAATATTTAATATTTAATATCGATTAAAACACGATCGAAATGCGATACCGGCCCCAAATTCTCCCAAATTCTTAAAATTTAAGTTCATGAGAAATAGTTCCATTATGTGAAGGCGTTTGCATATCTACTAGGCCAATAGAATACGTACGCGTTTTTCCTATGCCTGTGCATTCATACATTCAAATGCGTGTATTATTCGCTATGCAAAAAATCGATATTTCGACTGAATACTGCTTTAATTATCAGCTGCCACTTAACTTCAAATTTGCTACTACTAAAAGCAGTGCAGTGGCGAGGCTGGTTGATACGCGTTTTGTGGAAGTTGTGGGTTCGAATCTTGCTGTGGTAATGCCGGTTTTTATTTGTTTTTATTTCAATACTCGATACAAACTATGAAAAATATAAAAAAACGCAGATAGGACTGGGATCACAGCATCTCCTAGTCAGGCACCCTGACTAAAGTTTTCTTACTTGTTTATACTCTGAACCCATTGGGAATATCCATTCCCATGAACGCAGCGATCTGGTAAACCACAAAAGATTCAGACTTGAAATTTTTAATATACATTCCACAGTGCGATCTTATTCCTTTTTCAATGATCTACCGTTAATATCCAATTAAAATATCCAATTGACTATCCTGAACATTAAGATGAAGAAATTATATCTAGAAGACAGGTTATTTAATCAAGAAACGCATAATTTGGAACATGTTCAAAGGGCTCAGCGTATCTCCTAGTCGAGCAGTCTCGACTAGTGCGTGCTTGCTTGATTTCAACAGAATTCACGATTTGATCAATGAAAATATTAAAAAAAACGTTTTGGTTCGGTTTGATTTTAATTGCTTGGGTTGAGTCCCTTTTTGCTACGTTGCCACATAACGTGGCGTGCAGATGATGATAATGCCGTAAATTAAGTTGCGTTCAGCTGCCATAGCATACTTTTCGGGCAGAAATCAAGCCGTGTAGCGCTTGAGAACTTAGTTAAACGAGGCGGAACAAGTGGCTGACATCAATTTGTATCTGTTTCTCTATCTGCAAATGTATTTGTAGCTGTAGTAGTTTCTGCTGCCGATTCCCGGCGCCCATTTGCTCCTAAATTTGTACATTTGTGTTTGGTACCGCTTAGAACTTGCAATTAACTTGAAATGCAAATACAATTACCACGATAAAAGTAAATAAATACTGGCACTTGAGCAGCTTTTCTGGCACTCATTCGGCAGCTGTCTCAAATTAAAATTAAACGTAGTGCAACTTAATAACAACTTCTGTGCAATGCCCAACGGAAACGGATGTGTGACAACAATTTCGTTTTCTTATTTTGCTTTGTTTGATTTTTCTTTTATTTTTTATTATTTTTTGGTCTTTGGTGGCACACTTTGGCGCTGCCACAAAAAATGCTTCAACAAAATGAAATTAGTGTCAAAACGTTGCAACTTCAACTGGTTCTATCCTTGCCCAGTCCGCGACCGGGCTGTCAACTAGACGGGCCATTCGCACGGCAAGGGCCATGCCAGTGGGCAGCTCTTGTATTTTTGGCGACAGACAGACGCCGTGAATGACGACGCTGACAGCGAGTGATGGCCAAGCATCTAGCCTGGCCCGGTAAAGTGGGCGTAATCGTCCTGCTCGTTATCCAGACAGCCGGCGGCATTTCTACAGAAAAATTGTGCCTTCTTTGTTGTAGTTAGTGTTTTTGTTGCTGTTTCTATGTTGCCATGGCATTTTTAGTTGATTAGGGCAGGAATGCGAAATAACAGCTATGGGATGAGCTCGTTAGTCACTTTCAAGCACTTTCAAGTCGATAGTGATATACCTTATCTTCTTATAATATATATCATTCGTAGCTATTAGCTGTTTCAATTGCCTCATTCGACATGTGCATTGCAGTTGCATGTTTGTTGCCTGCCGCGAGTTGCCTAAGCAACCCTCTCAGCTCTTGTATTTGTGAGTAGCTTAGTATAGGGTATGCAACGCAGTGTCGTAGCGCTGAATGAATTTGATGTAGTGCTTGCAAAAACAGCAGCAACAAGCATCATCGGGATGCGCGACAACAAAAAATAAAATTTATTCATTGGCTGAGGTGGGCTGGTGTTTTTCCCTTTCGCTCTCTGCAACTTGTTTACCGGTGGGTTCTTTTTATGTGCGGTCTCTTTTTGTTTTAGCTTGCACTCGGTGCTTTTGCCTACAAATTGAATGGGTTTTGGACGCAAGTGCATTGCCCTGCCACAAAAGCAAGAAAAACAGCTACAATGGCTTGGATGAACTGGATTGTGGACGCAAGTAAATGAAGTGCAGGACTCACGGCCGGTCTGGCTAGCAGTGAAATGTAGAACGTGGTCAGGCTTTGATTAACTTCAATCAACTCTGGGATATCTATTCAGAATTAAAATTTATTGCCAATTTGCGGCAAATTCGATTAAGCTTAAGTTCGCGAGCACAAAAGCAAAGCAAGGCAATGTGGAGCAGGGCACAGAACTGAGACAGAGAGAATTGAGGCGTAGTCAAGCAGGAAAAACACTCAGCCGGACATGAAAGTGAGCCTGGGAATTTAAATTCCAATAGATAAAGACAGAAAGACGGCCCAGCAGGGCAAACAGGGCTGAGGCTGTTGCCTCAGACTGTAAGTTGAAAAGCTGTTGAAGTTTATTGGAAAAATATTCAAATCACGTGGGTGGTCTCAGCTCATCGGCTGGCAGCCAGCAGTCAGCAGCCGAGTGATAAAAACGACAAAGAAATTACTTATAGATTGAATGAAATTGTCTGGGCCCAGCTAGGAACCAGCACCACTTCACCGACTGCCCGAATTGCTTTGCTATATTTTTGATCAATTCAAATGCTAAGGCTAAGACAA